GACTGGAGGAGGAGGACATGGGATGGAGCAGATGAGACTGGAGAAGGACGAGGATATGGGATGGAGCAGATGGGACTGGAGAAGGAGGAGGACATGGGATGGAGCAGATGGGATTGGTGAAGGAGGAGGAGGACATGGGGTGGTGCAGGTGGGACTGGTGAAGGAGGAGGACATGGGGTGGAGCAGATGGGACTGGTGAAGGAGGAGGATATGGGATAGGGGAGATAGGACTAGAGAAGGAGGGGGGGCATGGGATGGAGGAGATGTTTAAATTGCTTTACGTTAATATTGTTACATTTTTGTTGTGAATATTTATTTTTGTAACTTTATTCTGCATAAAACATTTAAGAGTGTAATTTCATAAGGATAATTTATAAAGGCGTGTTTAGGGGTGGAATTAGGGATGGGGCCCAGGGTAGGGGTTGGATGGGGCAACTGGTGGCAAGTAACTCTTAAGGCCTGGCCAGTAACTCAAGACTTGAAATTTTGAGCCCTGTAATAAAGAGATACAAATAATGCGCAGTAACAATATTCAATATGATATCGTGTTTTAAGCTCTTTTGTAATAAAAAAAATAAAGTGCATTAGAATCAAAGTACTATGAACTAACTCAATATTGTGCATCCATTAATGTTCTCCATCACAGTTCTCCAAAGTACATTCATAATTGACCATAACTTCACCCATGAAAAAAAGTGCCTACAGTGGTGCCTCAAAGTGTTCTCTTGCACTCCTTCAAACACACCAGTGCCCGTGATCACCTCCACCTTCCACCCCTAGTGGGGGCCACTCACCAGATTCAGTGTGACCCCTTATGTCTATAAAAAGGTCAATAAAAACTCTTTGTTGCTGTCTCCTTTGTTTGCCTCCTCCTCTGGTCCACTTTGCGGTCCCCAGACACACAGGAGGCGTCCTCCTCTTCACATGCTCTACATGCATAGTTATTAAACTATTCGGTACTCACAAGTATACCAGTAAAAGGGCATGTAATAAGGTGACACCGATAGCAGTGTGTGCAATTACATCACAAAATAGGCTCCACTTTAAGCATTTCGTGGTAACCCACATCTTCAGTGGACCAGATCGAGATCTGTCTGGAAACACAAGGCCTGGCTCAGGACTTACCCACATGCATGCCTCCAGAGGAAGCAGCTTGCTATGGTGAGTGGCACATGGAGAAGATGAGGAGCCAGACTTGGCAGTGGGGCAAATGAGAAGAGAACATTGGCACCATTGCACAGAGCAGGTAAGTATGACATGTTTGTTACAAAAAAAAAAAAAAAAAAAAACTTTACAATCACTTAGGCTGCCATAGCTAATCACCTTCTAAAAACCTGCAGTTTTGAAATAAACTATGAAGAGTACCTTTGTTTTAAACATCCCTATCTGTGTTCCTCCTCTGGGGCCCCAGACAGCTGCCCATTCTGCCTTTATACTCCTCCAGTGCTGCAGACTTTCTGGATGGGACACTGGACATCTTTCAGTGTAAAAGGGAGCTTGTATTGCTTGTCATAGTCTTTAGAATGCTCAGGCAGGGATACCATCAGTGCTAGGACAAGGTCATCCGGTGCCCAGAGCAAAGATACCAAACTGTGCACCACCTTCAACTTGGTTTGTGAACAGAAGAGTTCACAAAAATTTGCTTTGGTTCGCAAGCTCCACTTGGGTTGATGAACACAAGCCACAGCCATCTTCCCAGCTCTGACAAGTGGCCCTGACTTCCTGTAGGCAAGATCACAGTCACAGAAAGACACTGAAAGTGTAATGTGAAGCCACTTACAGTATTGAGAAGCTTCTTGGTGCGCTTTTTAGCACATACTGTACAGTACTGTACTGTACATCTCTGTGCACGCTTGCTGTAAAGCTTTTTTGTGTGTTTTTTTAGCACATACTGTACTGCACATCCAGTTTGGCAACAAACAAAATTCAGAGCAAGCATGGTGGTAAGAGGAAAGTGCGGAGCGGTAATATAGGTGACAAGAATGTGTAGAACAAGCATGTTGTTAAAAAGAAAGTGCAGAGCGGCAATGAAGGTGGCCAGAACGTGCAGAGCGGTAATGAAGATGACAAGAATGTGCAGAGTGGTAATGAAGGTGACCATAACGTGCAGAGCGGTAATCAAGGTGACCAGAACGTGCAGAGCGGTAATCAAGGTGACCAGAACGTGCAGAGCGGTAATGAAGGTGACCAGAACGTGCAGAGCGGTAATGAAGGTGACCAGAACGTGCAGAGCGGTAATCAAGGTGACCAGAACGTGCAGAGCGGTAATCAAGGTGACCAGAACGTGCAGAGCGGTAATGAAGATGACCAGAACGTGCACAGCTGTAATGTAGGTGACCAGAACGTGCAGAGCGGTAATGAAGGTGACCAGAATGTGCAGAGCAAGCATGTTGTTAAAAAGAAAGTGCGGAGAAGTGTAATGAAAGTGACAAGAATGTGCAGAGCGCACTGAAGGTGACCAGAACATGCAGAGCGGTAATCAAGGTGACCAGAACATGCAGAGCAGTAATGAAGGTGACCAGAACGTGCAGAGCAGTAATGAAGATGACCAGAACTTGCAGAGCTGTAATGAAGGTGACCAGAATGTGCAGAGCGGTAATGAAGGTGACCAGAATGTGCAGAGCAAGCATGTTGTTAAAAAGAAAGTGCGGAGCAGTAATGAAAGTGACAAGAATGTGCAGAGCGGTAATGAAGGTGAACAGAACATGCAGAGTGGTAATGAAGGTGACCAGAATGTGCAGAGCAAGCATGTTGTTAAAAAGGAAGTGCGGAGCAGTAATGAAAGTGACAAGAATGTGCAGAGCGGTAATGAAGGTGAACAGAACATGCAGAGTGGTAATGAAGGTGACCAGAATGTGCAGAGCAAGCATGTTGTTAAAAAGAAAGTGCGGAGCAGTAATGAAAGTGACAAGAATGTGCAGAGTGGTAATGAAGGTGACCAGAAGGTGCAGAGTGGTAATGAAGGTGACAAGAACGTGCAGAGCTGTAATGAAGGTGACCAGAATGTGCAAAGTGGTAATGAAAGTGACCAGAACGTGCAGAGAGGTAATGAAGGTGACCAGAACGTGCAGAGAGGTAATGAAGGTGACCAGAAGCACCACCCCAACATAACTGTAATGAACAGTGTTGAATTTGATGAACGATAACGTGGTTTCATTTCCGGAGGGTTATGCAGCACAGGAAAAGACAAGTGACATTGGACAGATTTTTCACCAAAACTGAGCATGCAGCAAAGAGACAAAGAAGAGAGGAAACCCCTGAAGGAGATCTCCCCAATGTCCTTATGGAGGGGGACTCTCCCTCTGAACAATAACATCCTCCCACCCGCCTTCCTGTCCTCCATGCCAGAAGTCGTCTCAAGCAAGGTTAGTGTTCGCGCTCTTCATACTGTACTATACTGTACTTTGTTAATATTTTTGTGGTTTAAAAAACAAAAAAAAAGGTTCAGAACGGATTAACCTTATTTACCCGTTTCCATACTGGGTACTTTTACCCCCTTCCTGCCCAGGCCATTTTTCAGGTTTCAGAGCTGTCACACTTTGAATGACAATTGCGCGATCATACAACATTGTACCTAAACTAAAATTTTATCATTTTCTGCACACAACTAGAGCTTTCTTTTGGTGGTATTTAATCACCATTGGGGTTTTTATTTTTTGCTAAATTAACAAAAAAAGGCTTAAAATTTTGAAAAAAAAAAACACGTTTTTCTTTGTTTCTGTTATAAACGTTTGCAAATAAATAATTGTTCTTCATAAATTTAGGCCGAGATGTATTCTGCTACATGTCTTTGGTGAAAATAACCCAAATTAGGATGTATTATTTAGTTTGTAGGAAAGTTCACAAACTATGGTATAGATCTGAATATTGATAAGTCCTGAAGTACTGACAGCCAATTTAATTTCTTGAGGTCCAAGAATGTCAGAACAGTACAGATATCCCCCAAATGACCCTTTTTTCAGAGTAGACAGTTAGACGTACTTTATAAGAGGCATGGTAAGTTTTTCGAAGCTGTATTTTTTTTGTCATAATTTTTCGGAAAATTAAAAAAATTATTTTCACTATTTTTTTTTTACATACTGTCACCAGTGCAGTACAGCGTCATCATCTAACTGGCATGGCGGTGATCAGGGACACTGACTGGTCACAGTATGAAAAAAAATATATATAATTTTTTTTATTATTATTTTTAATTTTTTATTACTTTTTTTTCTTTTTTTATTATTTTTTTTTTCATATTTTACTATGACCAAAGTAGTACAATGTTACCATAGTAACATTGTACTACTTTGGGGAAGTGATCAGTATTTTTTTTTTTTTTACACAATTTGCTTATAGCAAAGAATTACTTTGCTATAAGAAAGCATTTACCTGAATGACATCGATTCATTTAGGGGTTTTTTTTTTTTTGTGCTTAGCTGTGATTTGGCCACAGCTAATCACATGACACAGCTGGGCTGTGATTAGCCCAGCTTGTGCATGTGATCGCTGTGACCAATCACAGCTACACACACTAGTATACAATGGATGGCATGAATGAAGCCATCCATTGTATACAACTGTCATGTGGTCACATGATATTGGCAACGGGGCCCGTACTCCGATCTGTCATTGGCCGCATCCGAGGTACACGGCCGGTGACAGATCACGCCGCTGCGTGGCTCTGCAGACGTGCAAACTGCGCATGCCTGGGAGGACACCATATGACATCCACCCGGAATGCTAATGGATTTTGCATGCCGCCATTCGGCCATTGGCCGGGCGGCTAATGGTTACATTGAACCTTATGGAAAAATGTGATTCAGTTGGCGACCAAATTCAGTTTTCGACCACGTTCATAGGGGTCAGAACGCATTAACCTGATTTACATTGAATGGGAAAAATGCCTCAGTTCGCTCCCAGAGTCATGGAACAAATTAAGTTGGTGGACCGAGGTATTACTGGACTTAGTAAAGTTATAACACAATGTGACAGGTGACATGACTCTGAGGTTGGTTTACCTGAAGTGAGACATCTTTCTTCTTGCTGGCCATAGCTGCTGCTCTCCGACTCAGTACAGATATGTCCGCCCAGGGTTTCCTAGCAGCACAAACGCCGCTTGTTGGTTTCCATAACTACAAGAAGCCGAACATTGCTGCCTGGGTACGCCTCCTACAGACTTGTAGTTTTATCCAATAGCTGAAAACCAGGGGAGGAGCCTGTGCTAGCGGCTTATCGCTGAGTGGCTTTGTTAGCTTGACATTGGATAGAACTCACATAGGGGTGAGTTCTATCCAATAGTGGAGAAGCAGGGGGGTAGCTTGTCTCGACGGTTTATCGCCGATTGGTTTTTCAGGCTCGGTATTTATTTTGCAGGAGTACCTTTTATCCAATAGTGGAGAACAAAGAGGGAGGAGTTTGTGCCATCGGCTTATCGCTGAGTGGCTTTGCAAGCTCGGTATTTCATGTATAGGGCTGTTGCGTTTTATCCAATAGCGGAGAACGGGGGGAGGGTATTTACCGCTGGCCTATCACTGAGTGACTTTGCAGCGCTTGTACTCGTGGTTAGTATTTTGCGCTCTGTCAGGGGAGGCGGTAGTGTGAGGGATGAGGGCTTGGCGGGAAATGGACGTGGACGAACTGTTCGAAGAGTTGTATGTATCAGCCGATGTTCGTGTTATAGTCTGTGTGAGGGGAGCACGAGGTTGAGGAGTGGAGGGATATCAGTGACGTTTATGTTTCCTCAGGCGCTCTGACTTTGGCCGTATTCTGTTATCGTGTAGTGATAGGCTGTGTACAGGGGCAGCTGACAGACTTTTTTTTCCCGTTTTGTTCTGGACTCCATTATCTCTGGGAAAAAGTGTTGCAGTTGTCACTAGAGGAGATGCTGGGTGACTTTTTGATGGGGACACTGCTTCCAAAGTGGCCCTACATGTATGGAGTTATGATCCTGCCACATACTCTTTCCCCAAGGGGGCAACATCTATAGCAAGATTGGGCAGTTAATTTCCCCAAGGGGGCCACATAGAGAAACTAGGACTCTTTCCCCAAGGGGGCCACATAGAGAAACTAGGACTCTTTCCCCAAGGGGGCCACATAGAGAAACTAGGACTCTTTCCCCAAGGGGGCCACATAGAGAAACTAGGACTCTTGCGGAGGGCCAAGCTTCAAGTGGAACTAAATCCACCCATTTAATGGTTTTAAAAAACATGCAAGGTATGCTGGGAATGCTAAGATCTTGTCCACACCGGGTGTGACTTAACAGATCATAGTCACGTGATAGGTCGCAACCTATTTGGCGCTATGCAACTGTTCAAATTGGTGCGGCTTGGAAAATGGTTCCTGCACTATTTTTGTGCGATTTCATTTGCGATTTGCATTGACATCTGTGTATGAAGCTGCACTGTTTGGCTTTGAAATTGTGCTGTGTGAATTGGTCACATTTTCTTGTGCTCTCAAGCAAACTGTCAAACCATCCAATGGCGGAATCAAAACTGATCACATGTGCGGCACCATGGCAGTTGCAGATCAAAAGGAAGCTAAGGTGGCAGCTGCCTTGGCTGAAAAAGGATAAGGGGGTTTAATGCCACTTTAACCACTTACCTGCTGGGCACTTATACCCCCTTCGTGCCCAGGCCAATATTCAGTTTTCACTGTTGTCGCACTTTGAATGTCAATTGCGTGGTCATGCAACACTGTACCCTTATGAAATTGTAATATTTTTTTTTTTTCATATAAATAGAGCTTTCTTTTGGTGGGTATTTACTCACCGCTGGGTGTTTATTTTTTGCGCTATAAACAAAAAGAAAAAAGTTTTAGTTTCCATTATAAAATTTTGCAAACAAGTAATTTTTCTCCACTGATGTGCGTTGATGAGGCTGCACTGATGGGCAGCACAGATGAGCTGGCACTGATATGCAACAATGATGGGCACAGGTGGGTGGCACAACTGGGAACAGGTGGGTGGCACTGCTGGGCACTGATCCCCGGTACCGATCCCTCCTCTGACAATTGCTGGTTATCGGCAGTACTTTCTTCACGCTGTGAGGAAAGTGCAGCCAATAACCGGCAAATGCATTTACCGATGGTCTGCTGTGTCATTGGACACAGCTGATCACGTGGTAAAAGGCCACTGTGATTGGCCTTTTACCACATCACGTAATCAGCTTTGTCCGTAGGACACAATGATTACGGAGATCACTGGGTGCGTGCCCCTGGGGCCGTGCGGGAGGGCGTTCTGGGAGGATGTCATATGATGCACTCCCAGGACTGGACAACCGCGCAGTTGCCAAGTGGTTAAGGTCCAGTTCACACCATGCCTGCATAGGAACACTGTACATTCCTGTGCAATTCCCATGTGGTTCTGTGTGGGGCAATTTCTTTTTGAATGGGTAAAAATTGTATAGCACCAAAAGTAGTACATGCACTGCAACTAGATGGTGCCCTCGCAATTGACAGATTTGAAGTGTTTTGCAAGGAAGAGTGGGCAAATATTGGCAAGTCAAGATGTGCCATGCTGATAGACTCATACCCAAAAAGACTGAGTGCTGGAATAAAATCAAAAGCTGCTTCAACAAAATTATTAGTTTTAGGGTGTACACACTTATGCAACCATATTTTAGTTTTTTTTTTTTTTTTTTTACATCCCTCCACCTAAAAGATTTCAGTTTGTTGTTCAACTGCGTTGTACAGTTTATAGGTTACATTAAAGGTGAAAAAAGTTCTGAAATTATTTGTCTTTTTTTACATCACAGAAATCTGACATTTTTAACTGGGGTGTGCACTCTTCATAGAGAGAAAAACAGGTGGCGCACACACCTAGTGCATTATCCAAGGTTTATTGTAGGAGTGAAAGAATAATAAAAACATACTCACAGACGAAGCATGTATCTAAAAAGCATTGAAAAATGACAATGGCCACAACGGCAGGCAAGGTGTTCTCACTGTCAGTGCGGTCAAATGGTTGACGCGTTTCGGGGACGAATCTTTCTTCAGAGCTGATGACCAACCTCTGATGCTGATGTATGATGAATGGAAAGTAAGAGCCTTGCTGTTGATGCCTGATGCTTCGTCTGTGAGTATGTTTTTATTATTCTTTCACTCCTTACAATAAACCTTGGATAATGCACTAGGTGTGTGCGCCACCTGTTTTCTCTCTATCCAGTGGCTGATTTCCCCGTCTGAGGAGGGCTGCACCCCTGGAGCATTTCCTTTGGTTGTCGCTGTCCTGGTACCCTTGGCTTCCCTTTTGGCTGTGCATATCCTGAGGCGCTGGAGAGTACATACGATATCCAGTTCGGTTGTGCACTCTTCATATCCACTGTATCCCAAAAAAAAACTTTACCAGAATGTCATTGTCTACCTTTGACAGCTTATTTACTGTTCGACCACATCTGCAAAGAGTGAATACCAGCAGACGGATGAATGAGAACCAACCTGAGAAGGAATACCAACATTTCAGGAAGAAAAGGGGAAATGTCATTTTCACAATTCGCATTTAGCATTAGATGGTCAGCCCCGGAATATTGTATTGAATCGTGTAATCACGCTTTAGCACATTTGTTCTCCTACTTAAAACTTCCTACAACTTAATGATTATGCCTGTGTGAGCTGGGGACATAATAATTTTTGACGGGGATTCTCAAAGGCCTATATATTTCCAGCATCCACAGACACCAGGGAGTGCAAGCAGGTGGGGAATGGAGCAGTAGGTGGACCTGGATCTTCCCTGGAGTATTACAGCAGACTTCATCTGATCAGCAAGGCTAAACCATGCAGTCTGATTCCAGCATGACAGTTGCTATGAATGTGGCAGACGGCTCCAAGGTAGTTGGTTGGAGTGTTTTTGTCGTTCCCCCCCCCCCCCCCCCCCCCCCCCCCCCCCCATCCCCATGGCTCTCCATTCTACTATGCCAATACTGTGGAGATGCAAAGTGTGGGGTTACCCTTAGGAGAATGCCCTCTTTGGGTGCTGGTTGCTGTGGGTATTTGCTTGCCTCTTACAAGGGCAGGGTGAATGTGTTTGTCTTTCCTACCATTGGTGTGGGTGTGGTCATTTGGAGGCAGGGGTCCTAAAGCCTCTTAAGGTGCATAGCAGAGTGGTAGCAACTCTGAGATAAGCAGAAGCTGCAACCTGTTAACTCCTTCCTACATTTAGAAACTAGATAATGGGTATAATGAATATCTTGGCACCACATTCCTGGGACAAAACAGTATAACCACAAAAAAGAAAAATAAATGGGACTTTATCAATGCTAGTATCCTCACCCTCAGTAAAAAAATCAAGACAAGGTTAAAAAGAATGCATTTTATTACAAAATATTGTTAAAACTACTGGGGTATACACCTCCATAAAAGCACTGTAGTGTCAAAATTCTGCTCAGCAACCCCTCAACACCTCCCCTGGATACAAATATGCAATCAATCACGTGTTATCATATTCTTAAATATTATCCTAATAAATAGCCATTGCAGGAGGTGCATGTATACCAATGTGTTTTCGCCAGGCGGGCTGCTTCAGGGGTTTGCGGGGTGCTGCTGGATGTGGCTAATAAGAGAAAACAATAGGTAATAATATATGCACAAACGCCAAAATGTCAGCAAGATTCAAGACCTATTCCAGCACACAACCATTACCTACAAATTAAAAACAAAAACAGAATAATTGGTGTCACTTATGCTGGTGGAAACGCCTAAAGGTGCAGCTGCAGAGGTGGACATAAGTAATCAGGATTATTCTTTTTTGTTTTGACAGTTTCACATTGCACCCTAATTTTGGCAATGGAACCATTCAAATTGATGCAACTCTGTCAGTCGAGCAGATTTTGAAAGTAGTTACTGCACTATTTTTTTATGACTTCAGGTGCAACTTGCATAGACATCAAGTGAAGCTGCATGATTTCAAAGTTGGATCCAGTGTGAACCAGAGCTTAAAGCGGAGTTCCACCCTTTTTTTAACGTCCCTCTGTTAATACTGTTCCTGTGGTGTCCTTCATGATTAGGATAAACATTCTTTTGAATTTTCCAAATAATGTGCAAAGTCGGCACTTCCGGTCCCGGCTGCCTAAGCGATGACGTATTTAGGCGATTGGCAATGTCTCCTGGGATG